TTTGTCACATAGAAAATTAAGAGCAAGGAGAAAGGAAGCTTTTCAAAATACTTTCTCACATATCAATGCGTCATATTAACAAACCCAGCTATCCAAAATTAGGGCTTTCCATCACCAATGAACAGCTCTGCCTTTCTCCTCCTCTGTTATTGTATGCTTCAGACGGGACTTAAAGACAGTTGGCATTCTTCCTAAATGTTCTGAGCCATGATTGATTGTATCCCTTCCTCAAGCTCGCCATATCTTGAAAACAATCCACCTTTTGTCTCATCTTTAGTTGCCGCTGAGCAGATTGTTGAAGCTTACTTCCTTCTCTGTGACAGGTTCTTTAAGCTCTTCAGCTGTCCCTGAATAACCTTTGACCTTTCGGTATGGTTCACAAGGTCTTTTGCTTTTTCTCCGCAATGGGACACTTCTACATCATAGCTAACACACATTTTCAGCTTCGATAAATAATAATAAATACAATATATATATATATATATATGTAAAACAAATCACTAATGGAGCAATGCACTGGAAAAAGATACAAAATCATCACTTGGAACAGCTCACATTTGAAATATTACAGCTCATTGGCAAATAGCAGTTATGTGGAGCTGCTGAAGTAGAATAGCTGAGTAAGAATGTGTCCTGTTTCATGAACGTTTCCAAAAGTTCATGGTGTATATGTCGAGCATAATCTCACAGTTTAAATAATCTTTTTGGTAATGTGTAACATTAAGTTAAATAAAAAGGCTGAAAAATGGCCTGTTATTGTAGAGAAGTGTGAGCTGAGGCTTTTTCTTTACTGGTCTGTCTAGTAAGTATTTCTTTTCACAGTTAACTTGCCATAATAGAAACAAACCTAGAATAGGTGGGAAATAAACACCGGTCCTGCTCCAGACCCAAATTCCATCTATTAAGGAAGAATCAGTAAATTTACTCAGGCTTGAATTTCACTTACCACAACTGAAGCTCTGCTGCATTCATTGAAGAGTGCTGAGAGAGACAAATCATGCAGCCAAAGCCTGCTGATTCAGTTATTGATCCAGACTTGTATCTTTAAATGTTTTACCATGAGGAAAATGGGCACATTGCTGAGGGTTTGTTGATTTATTTAATGTCCATGTACTAAAGGTAGTTTTTTTTTCTAGGGGAAGGAAAAACGGTGGTCCTTGGAGAAACTGGAAAGAGGGGGGGCACTGTATGCTATGCTGAAGACAGTAATGTCAATAACACCTGATGAGATATCCAGGAATAAGGACTTGGTGGTTGAAAGTTGTCTATGGAGAACACAAAAGCATTCAAACAGCTGTCCTCTCTGTTCGGCCTAACTGATGGGAAACACAAATCACTTCCATTCATAAATGAAGAAGAAAACAGTTTCCGTCTTGTTTTGAACTTTATCAAGATAGATACATGGAAGACGAAAGCTCTGGCAGAAGGCTCACAAAGCCATCTGTTGCAACAAGTTGAGATCATATACAGTATCGCTATGTTTAAAATCGATAGCTTCCTGATAAAATAAGTTAGTTGCACCACTTCGGCTCTATGGTGACCCCTTGGGTAAGGAAGGGAGCAGCTGAAAGTACCTTCTTTTGATGACTGTCTGCAGAGATTTTGAGGCTGAATTATGTGGAATTCTATAACTAAGTAAAAAATACATTAAATTCCTGCATATAGGTGACGGTTTAAATGGAAAAACATTTTTGTTTTTTCAGTCTTCCCATTAAAATAAGTGCTATTCAGTAACGATGACAGGGCGACACAGTTCACATCGCTAACACTTTTTAAGCGTTGCGTTGTTTTGTGCTGGAAAAAGCTGGATTTTAAAAATGCCCTGAAAGGCACTAAGTGAACACTTCTCCCTGCACACCATCTTGATGGTGATGACAAATGACCCTGAGCTAATACGGAGAGCTCATTAAGGCTCCAGGGAGCTGCAGGATCAAAGTGGGGATGTGTGAGTGGGGGGGCAGGGCTGTAAGGTTAAGAGTCTATGTCACTTCCTTGTGAGTTGATGAAAAGTATAGAACAGGGTTGTGTCTCTGTGGACAGCTATAGGTATGCACATGTGTGTGTGTGTGTTTTCCCGGATGGGCATAAAGTTTCTTAGAGCCTCTTCTTGTTAAAGATGAATGGGAAGAGTGTTGGACTTCCATGTAAGTAAAGGCTTGTAAAGCCAAGGCTTACATTATTTATGTGTATTTTTCTGAGGAAAACAATGTGCTAATTATAAAAATAAAACAACTAAGGAAAAGTGATTTACAAAGACCTAAACCCAAAAGATAAATATCTGTAATATCAGCACTGATCATTGTCTCCTTCAGAAATTCTTGAAATTAATTGTGAATCTGTGTCTCCCTTTACATTACCCAGAAAACCCTGCATGCCCTTGGAAACCAAGTGTGGGTGTGGCCTGAAAAAGAAATATGGCGACCCATCCTTTGTTTCTGAGGTCCTGCAGAACTCTGCAAACTTTTAAAATCCTGTAACAACTAATGTTCAAGCGAAGCATTCAATTTCTGAGGATATTTGTCACGGCTGCTGCTTTTCCTTGCTTCTGATTTCACCCACTGTAAAATATGGAGCCGTATAGTATCTCTTTATCTCCACAGGGAACACACATGGTTGCAATAATTCAGCATCGCTCGTCCAAACTATGGCTCTTTGCATCACATCGCATGAAAGGATTTGAATAGGCTATTGATAACGCATCTTGCGTGCTCAGCTGGAGACAATTTTGTCTAAACTGACTGCTGTGGCTTCGTGCTGTTATCAGGAAGCAGCTTTCAGCACAGACTCAAATCCTTTCTTTATTTCTTATTTTTTGAGAATGCAGATGTGGGGAAACAGATATATTATCAAGTATTTTACCTGAACAACATAAACAGTTTTTCATACCCTGTTGTCTTTTAATAACTCTGGCCAAGTCATCGGTTGCTTCATGGGTGTCTTCCCCCTGCAGGCTCAACATAAGAGTACTGCTGAGTATGTTAAAATCGAAAGCCTTTTTTTTTCTCCCCCGAAACCAAAGGCTTTGTTTCATGGCTTATGTAAAATGTATGTGCCTTTAGATTAGCCTTTGCATAGTTAGATAGCGGTATATTGAAGAAATAGGACATTATTCCTTCATTACCCCTTGAAAAGCTAAACAAATCTTAAAAACCACCATTAAAAGCATGTTATTTTATAATAGCATGTTAATAAAAAAAGATTATGACTTTCACAAAGTGATACATCAGACTAATTTAAACAAACACTGTTGTCGTGTTCCTTCAATCTAATAAAAACAAGCTACCAAACGATGCATTTTTTAAAAGCACGCCGTTTCCTGTTTTTTTTCCCAAACTGTTTCTCCACATTGGAAATTTCCTGTTATTCAGAATAAACAAACTCAATGTACAGTGAGGGGCCATTTAATCTTTTTAACAGATGGCGACAAGATACTAAATAATATTTCCTTTCCACCTTATCTGACAGGAGATGTCTATATCTGATGTCTGCATATCACTGACAGCGTATCCCTTTTCAAAACCAGTCCTGTAACAGTGTATCATGGACCAGAACTACTGTGGCAAAAAACAGCATTTTACACTCATTGATCAGGATCAAGTCAGCTGTATAGACTTGATCCTGATCAATGAGTGTAAAATGTTACACTGCTGTTTTCTATCTTTGGATTGTAGGGACAATAGGTGCCAACCTCATCTGACCAGCTATAAGTAATGGCGTGGGATAGTAAAGGTGGTATGAAAGATTGTAGTGTTTTCAATAGAAAGCAGTTTAAACAGTGGGGACTTCAGTAAAACAGAAATACGCAAAAAAATAAATAAATAAAATAAATTTAAAAAAGTATTTCTGTATGTCAAATGAAAGCCCGTTTTACAAACCAGAAACTATTTTAAAGTAATGCCATAAATGAAAATGTCTTCCTTTGTTGCTCGATTATAACTACTGCAGATGTTAGTAACATTTACCAGACCTGCCTGTTATAAATCTTCAGCCAACAATCTGTCTACTATAAAAATAATACTTAGAGCAATATCTCATTGCCATGTGTCATAGATCATTCATATTAATAGGGTTTCTTGTTACCGCTTCATGCATATTAGAAGATAAAGGAAAATTTGTGTGGTGATATCACACCAGATTAGAAGGTTGGGAAAACCAAGTAAGAAGTAAGGTTAGATAAACATATTAAGACTTTGAAAAGAGTTTTAATGCCAGTATTTTATTATTTTTTTAATTTGACCTCGAATGAGGACTTTTAGTTGGGTAGTAGAAGGGACACTTAGAAGATCTCCTCAATTCCATTGACATGCCTTCTGTAGAGGAAACAGAGTCTAGGGACAAAAGGCATGACTAAGCCATCACTGGAGGTGAGGTCACTGAGGTAGTTTGGCGAGGCCTCTGGAGTGGATGAAATTTGTCCCGAGTTTCTCAAGGCTCTGGATGTTGTGGGGTTGTAACAGCTAACACGCATATTGTGGAAGTTGGGGAGATTGTACCTGGACTGAAAAACCTCTTCAAGAAGAGGGTCTGGATGGTGTGCTTCACGTTTAGGGGGATCATACTCCCCTGGCAAGGTCTTAGTTCATCTCTCTTGGTTGTGCCCTGTGGGTAAACGGAGTGTTAGGTTCGGTGGTCTCAGAATTGTGTTTCTTGCACTTGAGCAGTTTGTGGTTGAGCAGCAGGGATGAGACTTTCTCCTGTTCTTTCATTGTGCTTCATGAGTGCACCGATCCTTAAATCCTGTCAATAGACTTCAATTTTATTTATATATCACTAAATCACAACAACAGTTCCTCAAGATGCATTGTATTGTAAGGTGAAGACCCTAAAATAATACAAAGAAAAAAATAAAAAGAAAGGAAAGAGGCAAACAAACAAAAACCCTACAAAGAGTTTAGGATGCAGTGAGGCCAAAAATCCTTTTGTCACATTTAATTAAGCTGCAATGTTTTGTTAACTGTGAATTAACTTAGTGAACTTAGCCTTCAATGTTCTTCTTTCAGATGTTAACGAATGTGAAGTGGATGAAGGCGGCTGTGAGGGGTACTGTTGCAACACCATTGGCAGCTACTACTGCAAGTGCCCTGAAGGCAGTAGGTTGGGGCCAGATGGCAAGGCCTGCAATGGTAAAGTGGACATCTAGAAATAGCTGGCGTACAAACACTGACCTCCTGGGTTAACTTCATTGTTATTATTATAATATAATATAATATAATATAATATAATATAATATAATATAATATAATGTGCCTGTGAATTTGTTATCATTTAGTAGTGCTACGACTCTGTTCTCTGTAATCGAGTTCATGTAACTCAGTACTAATGACTACTGAGCGTCATGTTTATGTGTCCCAGCTTGTGTAACCCCATAGCAAGACGGCCCCTAGCTGATTAATTATGACATCACTATAAAGCTTTTTGCACAGAAAGCCCTAAATGCGATCATCTTCTCTTCCAACATTTTATGGCAGTCCACTTTCCTGCTTCAATATACCTTTAGTCTGAAATCATAAATGCACTGAGTAATTAGTTACAGGAACTACAATGAAGGCATTTTTGCATGGGCTTACTTTGGCTGCTTGTCTGCCTGTGGTCAAGTTTTTCCCAGCGAGATAGCATCGCAATCAAGACACAGTCACGGAAATTCTGTGCAAGTTTATTAGGGTAAAAAATAACGTTATGGTAGAGACATTAGATGCCAATCATAACGTTATTTTTGATGCAACTTCCCATTTGAAACAGTCAAAGTTACGGCACCAAAACCGCTTGGTTAGGAAAAAATAATTATGACATTGCAGGAAAACACTGGCGTGATCCATTTTTCAGTATCTGCCCATCTTCTTCTCCTTCCTAATCCTTTCTCAATCTCTTGATTAGAAGCTTTACTGGAGTTGTTTCTTTATGCAGACGATGCACTCAGTGTTCATCTACTGTATAGGCAGACATATGCCATCATTTACATGAGCCTGTGGTACTGTGCTCCATCAGCAATAGCACAAAAAATGATCACTGTACATTTAATTTAGGCCTTTATTTTACCATTCATTGTATACTTTTTGGGCTTTTTAAACTCAGAGAGAAAAAAGTTAACTTTAGAAACTTTTACATAGTGACACCTATTATTTTGACTAAAAACATTGGTGCCATCTATAAATGAACGTGAGCATTTGTTCACATTCATCCATGTGAGGTAATTCAGTGGCCTTTGTGTTTTCTCCCTAAGTATTTCTTGAATCTGCTACATTTAAATGATCTGGCCTCTGTAGACCTACACATGCATCTGTCCACACAGGCAGTGCTGATATATTATAACAAGCGTGCCCTCCCAGTTCATCTGTCTTCTTTGAAAGAAATACGCTGAGTTAGCGGCGCACCCATTTGTTCCTAAAAGCTACAGGTGTGAACAAATGCTCCTGATCTTTGACCTTTAAGACAGGATAGTGTCACTCTAACATTTTTATGCCTCACAGGTTGCTGGAGAAGTCAGGAGTGAGCAGCAGTAGCAGCATTAGCAGCTGTTCATTTCTTATTTTAGGGGCTTTTGTGTGAATTTGCGTGAAAGTACAACCTGATACTTACATAGCATTTTTCACTTGCACCAAACACTCATAGACTCACACTCCAATAGATGTATCAAGGGCAACTTGGGGTTCAGTATTTCGCCTAAGGACACTTTGACATGCAGGTTGGAGGAGCCAGACCGGGGCAGGTGACCCATTCTATCTCCTGAACCACAGTTGCCCCATTTGTTCACTACATGTGGTTAAATTACTGGCAGAAAAGAGTGTTTTTGACTTTAACATGTGGCAGAAAAGAAAGTGACGTTACTAGTTTTAGAGTTTTATCTGACCAAAACTGAAGCACCCTGAAGATTTTGGTGAGAGAACTTGCTTTGAGTTTTTGGTTCTCACTAAAATGGGCTCTTTTAACATTCAGACTACCTTTTTTTAAAAAAAGAAAAAAATTCTACCTCATGTGTGCCACTAAAGCAGTTCAGCAGCATGTTAGTAGGGCTGCTGTTTCGCCTAATTGTATGTGTTAGCTCAACAATTCTGCTGTCACATGATATGACCTCCTGACCTGTGACACCTCCAGCCCTGCATGCACCTCACTGTGTGTCTCACGCTGAAATGATCTCAACTGGGGAAACCAATAAGCAACCTTGACAAACTTTTTTCTGTTCAGCTGTTTTGGATGTTAAGCATCATTCACAATAGCAGTCATACAAAAGAGCCTTGTTTCAGTGGCACACACCTTACGAGTGCAATGTGCAGTAAATATTTCTAACATCCATGTATATGTTCAAAGAATGGGGCAAACCATTAGGAATTTCTTTAGGCGACTATAGTCTTGCAATCACTTTGGAGAGGATTGCCCACATGGGTTTGCCAGATATTTAAATGTGTAGAAAGCAAAACACAAACACAAATAAATGCACACATAAACTACATGAAAGTGATTTAGTATATTTGTAGTACTTAGGAAATTCTCTGACCTCAGAGAAACCAGAATTATGGTTGTGTTGTGCATGCTCAAATAAACTGAACCACATGTTCCTGGGAAATATACAAAAAGAAAACACAAAATAAAACTTTATTTGGGCAGTCATTGCACACACAGGCCTAACAAAGGAATTAGTGTAATCTCAAAAAGTCAGAGATGACAAGCAGGAAGAGTTTTGGAGGATCTTATGAGCACCGTCCCCAATACGTATACGTGAGTTGAGGTTTCAGGTTTTTGGCTTCACGGCTTCCTTCTCTCTGACACACACTATAGGAAAAACAGTGAACAAATGAATCATGTGCAAAGAGCATGATAAACCACTCATCACTCACACCAAAGAAAGTGTAGTTGTAAAAGTCTTGATGATATTTCATCGTTTTGTTCACAGGAGACATAATATGCAGTTAGCTCTTAGTGTTTTTCTTCACTAGTAAAACTGAAGGAGCTGATGGGGGAATAAGCTGAACAGCACACTTAATAATTAACATTTTAAAGCATGAGAAATTGGAGCTTAAAATTGTTTAAAATTACACAATTACACCTCTTTACTCCACAATCCCGTAAAATTGCGTTATTCATTTTCTGTTATTTGGCGTGCATCAAACGAAATGTTTAATTAGACCACCTCAAAGCTGGGTGGGACTTTTTAAAAAATTAAGGATGTAATAAATTCCTTGTTTCTAAAAAGCTCATTTTAATCCTTCATTAAATTGAACGCTGTTCTCTCACAACTGACCACAGTTACAGGTGTCTCATTCATGAGCAAAGCGAAAACTTTTAATCAAGAAGCAGAGAAACTGTTCCATATTCATCACTGTGATGGCTGCAAATTTCATATTTGAATCAGTCAGAAGCAAGGCGTGGTGCATGCAGGGGCGGATCCAGAGAAATTTTCTTAGGGTGGCATGAAGGTGGCAAAGAAATCAAATGGGGTGGCAAAATCAAAGCCTCCCCCCCACCCAAACACATATGCACAAAACAAAACGACTACACAACAGAACAGCTACACAAGACAACACAATACACTAAGTATACACTCCACACTAACCATCACAAATCTCCCACATCTAAAAACTCTCTCTCACACACACACTTGCTCGCTCTGTCTCGCTGCCGTTACAGTCACTCCCAAAACTTTTCCCTCTTCCTAAACAACCAAATTCCATATGTTGACTTTTTTTTGAATTGGTCGACATGGTGCATTTGTCCACCGATAGGAAAGCGGTGGCTTTTTCCCCTTTCTTTACTGTTTTCGCGCTGTCCTTAGAAAACGCTTAAAACACACACACACAAAAACCTGACGACAGTATTTAGGAAAAAAGCGTGGCTTATATATATTATCATAACTCTGGATTTACTGGCCTGTAATTAAAATGTAAAAACTTTGAAGTCTGAACTTTCAGTGTGGGTTGAAATAGAAACTCAGCGTGGCTGCAGCTTGTTGCTATGTCACCTTAAAATAGTCATGTGATTTGGAGGTGCAGCCACAGAGGGTTCATAACACTCACCTTTCTTCCATTTCCAGAGTGTAACATCCAAACACCTGTGTAAAATCCCAAAGTCCCATGTTGTTGTTCAAAATGTGCTCTGGCACAATCATAAGCATGGCTTGCTACTGAAAGCAAGAAAAAAGCCGGTCCTGCTATGGGCTGAACCATTTGTTAATGTTGCAGGGCGGGAACACTATCCAATACATTCAGTTTTAGCATTTATATTCACTGTTGACTGTAACTACACTCAAACTGTTAATGCTATCTTATTTTAATAAACAACACTGTCATATGCAAAACTGGGGTGGCACTTGGGGTGGCAAGGGATCATTTTAGGGTGGCACTTGCCACCCCATGCCACCCTTCTAGATCCACCCCTGGGTGCATGAATACATATAAATATATATCTGTATGAGGTATGCATGCATTGCATATCTGTGTGTTCAGATGTAGATGAATGTGAGGAGCTCAATGGAGGATGCCAGCAGACATGTGTCAACACACCGGGTTCCCATCACTGTGAGTGCAGTGAAGGCTTCCGCATGCACTCAGATGGTCGAACTTGTATCGGTAAGTACTAAAGAAAAGGATTTACAGCACTTGTGGAAACTGTTTTCTATCTACTCCTCCCCACACCGTATTTTTCCCACATTAATAATTCAGGATTTTTTTGCAATCATTCTCTTTGTAATAAAACAGATAAAATACAGTTTTTTAAAAAAATGGTTTGAATTTATTGCACTTTTGAAGGATAGCCTGACATTCTGAGAATTTGCTTGTGAGCTTTCTTTCCAAGCTTTTGATGGGAATATTAATGTCAATCTCACCATATTTATTTTATGAAACTTAAGCAACAGATCATCTGGCGATCAGAGCCCTTTACTACACGTTCATGACATTAGAAAGGTTATGCCATACAAATACTTAGGATACACACTGATAATGCACTTACTCGGAACATGGATGTAGAAAGTGTGTATACGAGAATCCATCAGCATCATTGTCTCTGATGTTTTTAGTGTTTATGGCAATATTTTGTCATTTATGCTTAGGTCTGTGTGCAATTTTCGTTTTTTGTTGTTGCCATGATTTGTGTTGATCTTATCTTATCTTATCTTATCTTATCTTATCTTATCTTATCTTATCTTACCAAGAGTGCAAACTGGAGGCATAACTGACATGTATACTTTCTCAACTGCTGGTTAACACAAATCTGTAATAAGTCCGTAAGCAACTCAGTGCTTTTAAACATGCAGACATGGTCAAGATGATCTGCTGAAGTTCAAACTGAGCATTACAATAGGGGAAAAAAGGTTGTTGGTGCCAGACGAGCCAGTCGAAGCATTTCAGAAACTGCTGAGCTGCTGGGATTTTCCCACACAACAATTTCTATTGTTTACAGAGAACAGTTCAACAAAAAGAAAATATCCAGTGAGCGGCAGCTTGCTGGGCGAAAATGCTTTCTTAATGTCAGAGGTCAGAGGAACATGGTAAGACTGCGTCAAGCTAACAGGAAGACATTAATAACTCAGATAACCAGTCATTACAGCCACGGTATGCAGAAGAGCATCTCAAGATATGAAAACTTGGACTACAGCAGCTGAGGATGACAGTGGGTGCCATTCCTGTTAGCTAAGAGCAACAGGAGGAACCTGAAGCTACAGCTCACAATAGATGTCTGAAAAAATGTTGCCTGCTTAATGAGTCTAGATTTGTGTTGCAACATTCAGACGGTAGGGTTCAGACTGCGGGTGTTGGCATAATGGTGTGGGGAATAGTTTCTTAGCACAACGCGAAATCGTAATCCCAAAGTGGGCGATATCATGGATGTGGAGCAAATGTGTGACGCTGTAACATGAACCAAACTCTCTGTGGAATGTTTCCACCACCTCGATAAATCTGTGCCACAAAGAATTAAGGGTGTTCTAAAGCCAGGATTAGCAAGGTCTACATAATGAAGTGGCCAGTGAGTGTTCAGTCCAATGAAAACCAGACTTCATTGGTAGCAGTCACTGAACACAGTTAATGCCAGAACTAATTTCTTCACTTTGGGTTTTGTACAAATGTAACAAACAGACGTAGTGAAAAAAACAGAATGAAAGCGTAGAAGCTAGAGCTTCATTGAATAATCCTTGTGAGAAATTCAGACACAATTTAAAAGGAGAAATGCAAGGCGCTAAAGTACTTTTACCCTTTTAGGACCATAAAATTTGTCATTTAATGAAACAATTTGTTACTTGGAGAAAATCGGTACATCTCTGTTTCTATGTATGTCCCCTAATGCTCTCAGTTTCCAGCTGCAGCTTTGTGTTAAAAGATAGGTGCGGATGCAGAGGGATGGCTAATTGTGTCTGTGGAAGTCATCAGTGTTAAAAGCCTGCCGTTCATTCAGTTTTACAGCCTGTGTCATCATGTCTGTGTTTAGAGCACCCAGAAGGCACACGGCTAATATTCATATTTGGCACGTCATTAAGTTGCAGGAATGATAGGATGGAAAGATCATTAGAAAATAAACTAGAGGTAGTCATTGGACCAACAGGCCTATTGAAGACCTTTTTTTTTCCAGTTTCCTGCATTTACTCAAGTGTTTTCCACAATTATACAGCTGTGCAACTTGAGCTGTGAAAGGTATTTTGAATTGCCAGAAAATTCAGTTATATTTATCATCCTTTCTAAGTTACTGAAAACTTAGTGCGACTTTCAGCCCCATTAAATCTGCACTTGAGCACCTGAGCGGATGGGCTTTATGACTTTGACTTTTTTTTTTACTGAGCACTCGTCTATCTTCTTTGCTCTTAAGCTGTGAATTCCTGCTCTGTCTTGAATGGTGGATGTGAACACAAGTGTGTGGACACGGGGGACAATCACTACAAATGTGAGTGTCGGAAGAACTACCAGCTGAAGAGGGATGGGAGACACTGTAAATGTAAGTCAGCCTAACTTTTGGTGCAGAAACATCTGTTAAAGTGGCAGAGCTGTGCATTACACAGCTCAAAATCTGAATAGTCTTCATGGATTTTCTAATGCACTGATTAATTTTACTAGCAGTCTTGTTGTGACAGAAAATATATTAATGTGTATGATTCAGATGTCAAGAATACAAATTGTTCTCATCAAACTGTCCTGACCTGGCTTCATTCTGCAAATATATGTATGTGTATGTTTCTCCTCGTGTTAGTGAGGGACCCCTGTGAGGAGAGGAATGGAGGCTGCAGCCAGATGTGTACTTCAGAAGAAGGCCGAGTTCACTGCAGCTGCCGACCTGGTTTTGCACTGGCTGGAGATGCCAAGAACTGTGAAGGTGACAAAGCCCTCTCTCTCACTCACATAGCTATCACTCAGATAAGACCTCTGGTTTCCTGTATGTGAGAAAGAAAGTTTTCTATGCAGTCCTGTGAGAAACTAACTACACCATTACTGCTTCCCTATAACTAAGAGGGCAAGTAAATGGTAAATGGCCTGTATTTATATAGCGCTTTACTAGTCCCTAAGGACCCCAAAGCGCTTTACATATCCAGTCATCCACCCATTCACACACACATTCACACACTGGTGATGGCAAGCTACATAGTAGCCACAGCCACCCTGGGGCGCACTGACAGAGGCGAGGCTGCCGGACACTGGCGCCACCAGGCCCTCTGACCACCACCAGTAGGCAACGGGTGAAGTGTCTTGCCCAAGGACACAACGACCGAGACTGTCCAAGCCGGGGCTCGAACCGACAACCTTCCGATTACAAGGCGAACTCCCAACTCTTGAGCCACGATCGCCCCAGTGTAGCAATGAGGCACTACTAATCAAATGCACTTAATTATTAGATCATTGGCAGGTGTGAGCAGGTCTAAGCATTCAGGTGTGTGTTATACAATACCATTATCTTACCAGCAAACTCACCCTTTTAAACTTAAAGAAACTACAAAAAACCTCTCAGACTCTGCAACTTCAGTTAGCATGCTGGATGTTAAAGTTCCTGATTGTTCAGTTACAAAAAGAATGAAAAAGTATGACTTGTCTATAAAAACAACAAGGCAGCATAGCACAGAACAAACTGCAAGGCTTCTGGAGCATGCCCTTTGGACAGATAAGACCAAAGGGAAGAGGTTTGGCCATAAAAGACAAACACAGCATATCATCACAAAGACCTCATTCCAACTGTCAAGCATGATGGTGGGGGTGTAGCGATTCATGCCTTGCAGTCATTGAGTTGACCATGAACTCAACTGTGTACCAAAGCATCCCATATGGAAAAGATATATATAAATATTATAAAGTTTGTATCTGTCTTGTGTGAAACTTATATGAAAAGCATACAAAAGTGAAAAAAGATATAATATCCTTTGAAAAATTATATAAATGAAACTTGTATGTTTTGGATACTTACTAAAACAATATATGAAAGTAATGAGAAAGTGGCCACTTTCATGAGTAAATCATGTAAGCCTTATATGATTCACTATATGAAGTAGGCCACATCTTATGCAAGTCTTTTATAAGTTTTTACTATTTCTTTTCCCCATGGGATTGCAGAGTCAAGCATGGCGAAATTGAGCCATGAAACAGGACAATGAGTCCAGGCACAGCAGCAAAACTATAACAGAATGACATGAAATGAAAAAGAAAATAATCAAGGTCCTGCAGTGGCTCAGTCAATGCCCAGATCTCAACCTAAATGAAATTTTGTGATGGGACCTTAAGAGAACTGTGCATAAATCAATGCCTACAGACCTCAATTAAATGAAACAGCATTCAAAGTAGGCCAGATTCCCTCCGCTACATTGTGAGAAACTCATATGGAAAGTAGTTACTTAATGTTATAGCTAATTGTGGTTCTGCAAGATGTTGAGAGCTGTAATTAACTTTCCACAGGACTGTGCACATCTACTTGTTTTAGGAACTCTGGATTTGGTTGGAGACTTAGCTGCTACTCGACCAAGAAAGTCAGGTTCCAGGATACAAGTTTCATGAACACTGAAATCCTGTTTACCTCCGCTGTTTCTTAATATGATGCTGAATAATATTCTGCAGTTTTGCAATACAGTAGATAAATCTTTGACACAATCAGTGGACTTTTCTCATGCTCATGTGTTTCTGCCTACATGTCTTGGTGTATCTGTTGACATTTGTCATACCAGGATCTAAAGTTTGTTAATATTTGCCTCTTATAGACATTGATGAGTGCAGCTCTGGCCATGCCAAGTGTTCCCATGGTTGTGTCAACATGTTGGGTTCCTTTAGCTGTGTGTGTCATCCGGGTTTTGAACTCGGTGCTGATGCTAAACAATGCTACCGTAAGTAAGAACTTCAGCCTACCTTCCACAAACTGTAAAGACTGCTGAGTGCTTTTTATTATGCAAATAAGAGAACAACTTACATCATTTCAGAATGACTTTGTTGAAAATGTTCTGATTCAAATGTGCCTTAGTTTTTTTTATTTTTAACCCCAAAGGGATTTTCTGACTGTAATGGGAATTTAACTAGTAACCTTTCCTTTGCTAAATAAATATGAGTACCACTACACACTATAGCGCAGGCTGGTGCAGCTTGCACATTCTAAAATCATTTTCTTTTTTTTCTGCTAACAACAGAACAAAACGCAAATACCAGGTTACTTGTAAACTGCTCTTTAATTTGAATCACAAAACTTTGCTTGTAAACATTTCAGTGTAGCACACAGGACTGACATGCGTGATATGCCTCAAAATTCAACCGAGTCCTAAGTTATATCCTTTTTAAATCCATCATACTCTCATTAGGTATTTATGTTGAGCATATAAAATGCAAAATTCAATGTGATTTACAGAGTCACTATTAGCCAAAAATGCCCCGTGTCATTGACCCTATATTTCATCTGTGGTTGTGTACTGTTGTTGTGGTTTGATCCTTTCATCTCCAGGCATTGAGATGGAGATTGTAAACAGCTGCGAGAAGAACAACGGAGGTTGCTCTCATCATTGTGAGCATACCACCAATGGCCCTCTTTGCTCCTGTAACCAGGGTTACCAGCTTGACCAAGACAGGAAGACCTGTGTAGGTCAGACCTTCTATACATGTGTGTGTGTGTGTGTGTGTGT